CAATCCCTTCTCCTCCATTCTCCTCTCGGGATCTTGGGCACACACGCACATGCGCCCGGCGTGAGTTTTAACCCACCGGGTCCAGGATGCGAACCGTGGTCGACTACGTGGGAGTCCAGCAACATAGCCATTACGCTAACTGCTGGTTCCCATATTTGTTTACTTTTTAAGGACTTACTGTAATATGTTTGTGTCAACTGCTTTAAATTCTTTTTGAGGGACCAAGACCTGGCAGCTTAAAACTCACTCCAGGTGTGTGTGCTTGCATGTCCAAAATCCTCAGAGGAGAATGAAGGACAAGGGATTATAGCGTGGCCAGTCCCTCTTGGGGGTGATTTCTTGTTTTCTTTCTCTTTGTCTCTCTGGTAAACACATTCCTATAGCAAAAAAAAAAAAAAAAAACTCTCAAAAAAAAAACATTTCTTTTTGAAATAGAGTAACCCTACACAAAAACATGTTTGTGTAGCTATTTCTTATTTTCTGTTTTTGTTTTAAGAAGCTATTTTCTGCTAACATTGTGCTCATCCTGTTTTAGTCTGCTTTGCTATCTTTTGTCTTTTTACCTGTCTGCTCTAGGACAAATTAAATCCCATGTGTGATGCCCAAACCAGGCTAACTCTGACAGGGTATAAACTACTCTCATCTTCTCGAAGCTCTCATGCATCAGTAGTACAATTGTTTCTCAGGGGCACAGAGAGCTATGTGGCTGCTCAGTTACTAGGATTCACACATGACACAGCCGAGGCTTGCACACAGCATCAGATACAGTCCGGCCTGGCCTTTCTTCCTCTCTAGAAGTAGAAAAAGGGGTATGATCAAAGCTGCATGTTTTCAGTGCCTAGCCTCTGACATGTAAGCCCCTTTTAAAAAATGTTTCTGATCGAGACATCTACAAAATTAAAAATAAAAATGGGGCCCAGTACTTACTAGGTAGATGTTCTCAAATGTGTCCATTTCTGTATGGCACTATTCTCTTTTTTACCTCTGTCTCGCATCAACCTTTTCTTTTTCTTTTTTTTTTTTTTGAGAGTTTTTTTAAAAATTATTTAATTTTATTTATTCATTTCTTTAGTTTTATTTGACCAGATAGAGAGGGAGTAAAAGTGAGAATGTAAGCCACCAGGTCTGGGACTCAAACCATGGTCGGCCATGTGGGAGTGTTCAGCACCTTAACGATCACGCCATCTGCTGGTCTCCCAGAGTTTTTTGTTGCTGTTGTTGTTACAGGGCACGTGTGCTCATGGAGAGACACAGAGAGACAGAAAGCAAGAAATCACCCCCTGGGGGCGGGGATGGTCACACGGCAATCCCTTCTCCTTCACTCTCTGAGTTTTGGACACATGCACACATGCCCGGCGTGAGTTTTAAGCTGCCAGGCCCAGTACTCAAACTGCGATCAGACATGTGGGAATCCAGTGCAGTAACCATTATGCCACCTGCTAGCCCCTTCTTTTTTTAAAATTTTTTTTCCTTATTCATGATATAGTGTATGCAAGAATAACAAAGAGAGAGTGCCCTCCTCAGTGTCTAGTTACACCAGGATCCCCTTCCTCCAGTCCTCTAGCCTTAAGGGTCTTAGCACTGATGTCCATGCCTGGTGTGTTTCAGGCAAACCCCTGTTGCCACATGGGATTTGACTTGTCTTGAGTAGTGTTTTACTGCTACACCATGGGGCTGACCCTCTCACATATCTTGAAAAGATCTAGTCAGACAAAATATTAACCATCAAAAGGAGAACAACACTGAGCTCTCCTTTTGGTCTCTAGTAGTTATGATTCTGTCTTCTTTCAAGTCAGAGATAGTGCTATGTTCTCACCTCTGAATCCTCAGTATTTATGAACAGGTGCTTCGTGATGTAGGTACTGTCAGAATCCATACCACTGCAGATGTGAAGCGGCCGCGGACATCCTGTGCGTTCTTTGGCACATGCCACCCCTTATTAAAAGCCTCAGAGGACCCAGAGAGTGGTGCAGTGGTACATGACGCTTTGTAAGGCTGACCCACATGGAATGGTTTCAGGTTCACCTAGAGACCTTCCTGAGTACACTCATTCTCAGGAACCAGTTAAAGCTGGGATGGATCACAGCGTCAGGACCTTATTGAGGTTGTGCACTTCCGTGCTCTCTCACTAAGTAAATGCAAATTTTTTTAAAAAGCCTCAGGGTTTCATTAGCTGGGGCTATATAAGAAATGGCAGCTACTCTGTTATTATTAGAAGCTTCTCTACAGTAGTCGTTTTGCTCTTTCCACTTCTTTTGAGCCCCTTTTTCTTTTCTTTTTTTATTGCCAGAAGGTATGTGCACTCACCAGAGAGAGACAGAGAGAAAGTATCCTCTGGAGGGGATGGTAACACTGCAATCCCTTCTCCTCCATCTCTCCCTCCTTTGGGGATTTTAGGCCCACACACACCCACCCAGTGTATTTTTCAAAATGCCAGGTCTGGGACTTGGACCATGCAGTCGGCCATGGGAGGTCCTGCTTCCTTGACTGCTACATCACCAGCTGGTCCAAGCCCTGGTCTTTTTATTCTCTTTCCTAAGCAGTGTGCAGCCGAACATCACAGCTTTCCTGCCTGGCTGAGGAAGTTTCTGTTCTAGTGTCCCATGGGAAGCCCTATTCAGGTGTAGTTCATTTCCACTCATTTTATTTCTTTAGAAATCTCTGAGGCATGCATGTGTTTTGGGTGAAGTAGGCTCCCAACAATCAGAGGGTTGTAAGTGCAATAGAAAATATCAGGTCAGTATGATGCTTACCTTACATTGACTGGTATAGGAGGATGATTCTTTTTGGAAAGGAAATTGACTTCCTAAAGGCTAAAATTACTTCACACTCATGGTTAAAGATATTTTTTCCTTTCCATATGTTTTAAATGGAAGTAGGAGTGTTTGTTTGCAAAGTATTTTGAAGCTGGGCGGTGGCAGTGGCCTCCACAGTGTGAGTTAGGTGACCCAGCTTCTGACCGTGTCCCAGGGCCACTGCCTTTTTGTCTTGCCTTTTCTTTTTTGGCTTTCCACTCCGTCAGTTTTGCTAAATCAAAACAAGCAGCCTATTTCTCACTGCTTACCCTGATTTTACTTAGCTTTTTACAGTGCTCTAAGTGGTAATAGTAAGAATTAAAAAAGAAAATACTCAAGTTTTAAGTGTTTATTGTGATAGAAAAGAAACTTTGAATGTTTAAAACACAAACTACAATATTTTATTTTTACAAAGCAAGATGCTTACATAGAGCATAAGTTATTACCCAGAGCTCCATCTATCTTCATTTTTTCATCCATTTTTTTATAGACGAGATAAAAAAGGAAGCTCTTTGAGCCCATTTCTTGTGAAGTAAATAAAAATAGGTATATCTGTATGGAATATTTAAGGCATTTTTGTGCAGGTGTCCATGAGGGACCATACCCACCTCCAGCTGGAACTCCCTGTCACCTGCAGACCCACTTCCTGCCTTGTGGTGCTGTACCAGAGAGAGACAGAGAGAAAGTATCCTCTGGAGGGGATGGTAACACTGCAATCCCTTCTCCTCCATCTCTCCCTCCTTTGGGGATTTTAGGCCCACACACACCCACCCAGTGTATTTTTCAAAATGCCAGGTCTGGGACTTGGACCATGCAGTCGGCCATGGGAGGTCCTGCTTCCTTGACTGCTACATCACCAGCTGGTCCAAGCCCTGGTCTTTTTATTCTCTTTCCTAAGCAGTGTGCAGCCGAACATCACAGCTTTCCTGCCTGGCTGAGGAAGTTTCTGTTCTAGTGTCCCATGGGAAGCCCTATTCAGGTGTAGTTCATTTCCACTCATTTTATTTCTTTAGAAATCTCTGAGGCATGCATGTGTTTTGGGTGAAGTAGGCTCCCAACAATCAGAGGGTTGTAAGTGCAATAGAAAATATCAGGTCAGTATGATGCTTACCTTACATTGACTGGTATAGGAGGATGATTCTTTTTGGAAAGGAAATTGACTTCCTAAAGGCTAAAATTACTTCACACTCATGGTTAAAGATATTTTTTCCTTTCCATATGTTTTAAATGGAAGTAGGAGTGTTTGTTTGCAAAGTATTTTGAAGCTGGGCGGTGGCAGTGGCCTCCACAGTGTGAGTTAGGTGACCCAGCTTCTGACCGTGTCCCAGGGCCACTGCCTTTTTGTCTTGCCTTTTCTTTTTTGGCTTTCCACTCCGTCAGTTTTGCTAAATCAAAACAAGCAGCCTATTTCTCACTGCTTACCCTGATTTTACTTAGCTTTTTACAGTGCTCTAAGTGGTAATAGTAAGAATTAAAAAAGAAAATACTCAAGTTTTAAGTGTTTATTGTGATAGAAAAGAAACTTTGAATGTTTAAAACACAAACTACAATATTTTATTTTTACAAAGCAAGATGCTTACATAGAGCATAAGTTATTACCCAGAGCTCCATCTATCTTCATTTTTTCATCCATTTTTTTATAGACGAGATAAAAAAGGAAGCTCTTTGAGCCCATTTCTTGTGAAGTAAATAAAAATAGGTATATCTGTATGGAATATTTAAGGCATTTTTGTGCAGGTGTCCATGAGGGACCATACCCACCTCCAGCTGGAACTCCCTGTCACCTGCAGACCCACTTCCTGCCTTGTGGTGCTGTACCATGCTGGAGACAAGCAGGGAAGGTACTAAGAGTCTGATTGCAAGGCCCAGTGCCCTGGTGTTCCCTCCAAGCAAGTCCAGCCTGGGTCAGCTTACCTCCAGCTGAACAATTTATGTGTATGTGTGTTTTAATGTAAATTGAAGATCTTTTGTTGGATTTAAAATAGAAATTCTTCTCTTCCATCCTCTTTCACTCCTTTCTTCAGGCCTCTCCTTTAAGACTTGAGATAATATGTTTTTTTCTTGTGTAACTTAAGCCTTAGAGAAAAATGGGTAAAGCAATCTCTCAATTACTGTTTTTTCATAGAAAAATCAATGTGGAAAAGACAAGTTGCTGCTGTATCAGGGGATCACAGGCAGAGACAGCCCCCTCAGTCCTGCCCCTGAGAAGTGTATGGCAGGGCCATTTGGTTAAATACTTCATCCTATTTGCTGAAACAGCCTTGGAACATGTGATTTTATTGAGCTTCTCAAGGACTTGCTCCCCCATTAGCTATTATCGGCCATTTCCCATTCCTACCCTTTCTGCATTCTTTTCCTATCCTTCTCTGTCCTTGCCAGTCTCTGTTTGTCTTCACCTCTATAGCCTATTCCACAGCAGCCTCTTTTTAGGACTTGAAGTCTTCTGGACGGATCTTCATCTCCACCCGTTTGAGAGAGTAGGTGGAGCCATGCCAGCCATACCAGGTTATGCCATCCAAGTGGTTTCTGTGCTCACCCAGGCGGTAGTAGACCCCATTGAGGTTGGAATCTGTGCAGCAGTTGTACCAGTATCCACCTGACACAAGAAACAGATGAGTGCCAGTAGGCTGAGTATGTTCTGCCCTCTAGGTAAGCAGCTAGACCTCAGGGATTTCGCAGTGTTATATGAACAGTAGGTAAACAGTTAGAGCCAGTGTCACAAAGGATACCAGAGCCAGAATAGCAACTGTGAAGTTAGACATTGAGCCTTTCTCCGTAAGTGGGTTTATGGGCTTATAATACCTGAACTTCTTCCTGTCCCCCCAGATCTCACCTTTGCGGAGCTCTGCACATTGGTCCAAGCAGTTGTCATTGTCCTTATCCTTGGTGCTGAAGGCTGTGTTGTTATGATAGTAGAGGGCGTCATTGCTCACGCTGCCACTGAAGTTCCCCAGGTAGAGGCGATAGCTGTTCAGTTCATTGCCCAGAACAAAGTGGCTATATTCAGCATGGAACGCGTTGCCCTCCCAGTCCTGTCAGGGAGGGGTGGAGCCTTAGAGAAACTACAGCAGGGCTTCATTGCATGCTATCCCCATACCTCTTCTCTCTCTCCAGCCCCCACAGCAAACCTGTTTTCATAGCTGTGGATCTAGTAAAACTTTATTACTCATTTACTGCTTGTTTACCACACTAACCTGGAAATCAGAAAATAAGGGTCCTTGATCAAAGTTCTCTCCTGATTCACTGTGTGCCTGGATTAGTCTTTCTTCCTATATTCCTTCACTCCCCTGTCTATGAAGTATAGATAACGTGTTTTTCCTGAATCCCACTCAGAGCAGAAAAGGACACAATGAGTGCTTTAAGGTCTTCACTGAGAGTCACCAACCAGCATCAGTGAGGTTTACACGTAAAAGACCTCCTTCCCCAGACCAGAACAAAGATAGTGGTGTTTCAGTCCAGCCGATTGTTGGGTTTATTCTGCTCTGGCCTGGGTCTGATTTGTTCCTGTGCCACCTGAAATTCCATTTTTTTGAAAAATAGGGAAATACCTATTCCTCAGTAAGTGTACTGCAGCGTTTAGGAAAACATCTTATGAATATACAGATCTGTAGTCAACCAAGATAGAAATGATGCCCCAGGAAGTGCACAGCAGTGTGGGTGGTTGTGGCTTCAGGCCTCACACTTACCTCCATCTCTACACGGAGCCGGGTAGGCTGTTGGGTAAGGCGGTGGATGTGTTCATTCCCTAGCCAGAAGTCCCCACGGATGCTGCCAAAGCCCTGCTTGTACTGCTTCCAGTCTCGGTAGAAAGAGACAAGGCCACTCTTTCGTCTCTGGATGATGGTCCAGCCTCCGCCTAGAGTCTCCATGTCACAGAATACCTGGAACAGAGAGGGTGCTCTGATCAAGGGCACATGGGCAGGCAGCAGGAGCATGAAGGAGTGCTTCCCAGTCTTTTTCCTATCCTTGCAGAACCAGCAGGTGCATGCACCCCTGTGCATTCTGGCTCACCGTGTTGCCCCGGTGGTAGTGAGCTAGGGCAGGGTGATGGTATGCTGAGCAAGAATGATCCACAGTGGGGCCTGGACTGGGTGCGTATGTAGCTTGAAGGGAAAAGTCCAGGTACTTCTGATATGTATCCTTTATGATCCCTCTCTCCTCCCCAGATATTAGCTGTTCTAGGACATGCCAAGAGACTTAAACTAACTATGGTTATAAAAATGACCTAATCTATGTTAGAAGGTTTAGTATCTGGTCAATAACTAGACTTAAAGGGGACAAACGTGCCTGGATTTGGGGAGGGCGGCACATAAGTGAGTGTTTACTTTTGAGCATCTCTTTTGAGTTTCCCTTCCTTTGGACTAGGGGTAGCCCTGTTATCACCATCCCTTCGAGCAGGTGGAGGACAGATGGTAGACCATAGGTACCAGGCTACAGTGACCTCACCTCCAGCTCAGGGCTGCCCAGGAAGTCGTCAGAGGGTAGCTTGTATACCCCAGAGATGCGGTAGTTCTTCTGGTAGAGGGATGAGCAGTCATAGATCGCATCTACAAAAGGAGCAGACCACAGTGAGCTTCCTGACTCAGGCTCTAGGGTAAGCACGGATTCCTGTTAACACAAAACACACCAGGTGCCATGTGCGTGTGTGCCCAAAATCCCAAAAGGATGGAGAAGGGATTGTAGCTGGACCATGCCCCATTGGGGGTGCTCTCTCCCTCTTCCTTTCTGTCTCTCTGTACCTCTCTGGCCAGTACATGTGTCCTCTGGCAATTAAAACAAAGCAAAACAAGGCATTTGTGCTACATCCGAATTGGATGTTTGAAAGCAGAGACTTCATTTCCACTGTAAATCTATGGATACCACGCAATATCAGTGTTTAGGAAAGGTGGGCATCAAAATAAGAGGAAGTGTGTTTTGGCTTCACTAGCTATAGGGTAGAGAGGTGGAGAAGCCCTTCACCTGGATAACATCAACAGAATAAACAGGTGGTTCGGGTGAACTCTGAAATCAGTGATCCTGCTGCAGTACTAGACAGTGAATTCTAGAAATGTTACAGTGTGTGAGGGCCACGTAAGACACTTCTATGGAATAAATTCAGACTTCTTGGACAGCCACCTCTCTTACAAGATAAGTCATGAGTATCTCACAGGGTCTGGTTTTGATGTTGTTTCTTGGTTTGTTTTCCCCAGCAGTGATGGCCACTACCAACTGGGACCCTAAGTAAGGAATGTAGAATTTGCAGTCTCCTCTTTGCTCCCTCAATCTAACAATGCTAGGTCCTCAGATGAAAAGAAAAGCACCCTGACGAACCCTTTAAGACCTTCCCCCCCACCAGAAGGTTTGTTAAAATAAGGAAATGAGTGGGACCAGCAGTTAGCATAATGGCTATGTCGCTGGACTCCCATGTAGTCGACCGCGGTTTGTGTCTCGGACCCAGTGGCTTAAAACTCACGCCGGGCGTGTGTGTATGTGTGCCCAAGATTCTGAGAGGAGAATGGAGGAGAAGGGATTGTGGCGTGGCCATCCCCCCTGGGGGGTGATTTCTCACTTTCTACCTATCTTTCTCTGTCTGGTGCGCGCACGCACCCTATGGCAAAAACCTCTCCAAATAAATAAATAAATAAATAAATAAGGAAATGAAAGCATCAGACAGGTGATTTTTTTCTGTGACTATTTTAAATGTCTCCTTGGTAGACCTTGGGGCTACTACCATATGCCAGGTTTGCCTCTCTATTTTAAATATCAAAGAGCACTGTGGAAGGGACAGCTTATTGATAGGATTCAGAGAGCCATGCTCTTACTATCTAGGAAGTGCTTCCTGCCATCTGTGTCTTGAGGTTCTTGTTTTTGATGACTGCGCTGAGACCTTAGAGCAAGAAGATGGCACTTGGTTACACTGCCACCATGGAAGCTGTTCCAGATGCCCAGTTCCCTTGAAGAGCATGTTGGGGCAGGGGTAATGGGGTATGCTTGCTGTCGCAATCAGAGTTCTTTGTTTCATGTTACCGGTTGAAAGCATGAACTTAGTGCTTTCTCCAAGGAGCTGCATACTTATACAAAGGTGACTCAGCATCTGGTCATCGAGAAGAAAAGTAAAGAATGTTGTCCTGGGCAAGAAGAGTAAGAGCTGCCTTTTTTTTTTTTTTAAGAGAGGTTTTTTGGTTATAGGGCATGTGCACTCACTGGAGAGACACAGAGAGACAGAAAGTGAGAAATCACTGCCACCACCCCCCAGAGGGGGATGGCCACGCTGCAATCCCTTCTCCTCCATTCTCCTCTCGGGATCTTGAGCACGCACACACACGCACCTGGCGTGAGTTATAAGCCACCAGGTCCAGGACTCAAACTGCAGTTGACTACATGGGAGTCCAGCAACGTAACCATTATACCATATGCTGGTCCCCAGAAGAGCTGCTTTTGAACCCCAGGAAACTCCCTGCCGGGTGGTGAGAAATTCTCTAGTTTGGAGCAGGAAGTGGCACAGTCAGATTCCTCTGACTGGCCTGACTTTCCACATGTCTAGTTTCATCTCATAAACCAAATCAGGGCTCACTTGTCTGGAAAATGGCCTGAGAATACCTTTCTGATCCCAAACTGAAGGTCGTGAAGTCCATGCTTAGAAAGTGATTTATACGTGTTGGTTTAAGTGACAGAATTTTTCATCTTAAATGTTAAAGCGCTCACATCATTTGAATTGAGGGTATCCAGTGGATTACTCATGAAAAGAATATGTCTTTGTTTTTGGCCTGGTTTATAATGTGACCAACAGTTTTTATGTCAGCAAGAAAGACATGTCTATAGGCTATGCTTCTTATAACTAATACTTAACTGATAATTTCAGAACCAAAATTTATCTCTAAACAATAAATTTACATTGGCCCATATGAGCCAAGCTAACCAGGAACTGAAAGTTATTTTGGAAAAGAAAATATTAAATGTATCTTCTTTTCGGCCTATTAAAAATCTGTTTATGGGGTTGTTCCCATAGTATAATAGTGAGAGCACTGCACAGAGGAGGCTGGATCCCACAGGGTCGACCAGGGTTCACATTCTAGCTACAGCAGCTTGAAAAACATGTTGGGCATAGCCAGTTCCATTGACGATGTCCTCCCCACCCCCCTCCATGGTGCATGTGCACATACACCCTCTGGCATGAAAAAAAGGGGGAGAAAGGAAAAAAAGAATATCATATGTCAGTGTTGCCTTTTATCTCTTGTATTATTTGGGAGAATGGTGTTTTTTTTGTTTGTTTGTTTTTGTTTTTGGAGAGATTTTCACTATAGGGCGCGTGCGCTCGCCAGACAGAGAGAGACATAGAGACAGAAAGCGAGAAATCACCCCCCCAGGGGGGATGGTCACGCCACAGTCCCTTCTCCTCCATTCTCCTCTCGGGATCTTGGGCATGCACGCACACGCGCCCGGTGTGAGTTTTAAGCCACTGGGTCCGGGACACAAACCGCGGTCGACTACGTGGGAGTCCAGCGACATAGCCATTTCGGTAACTGCTGGTTCCCAGAGAATGGTGTTTGAGACCATGGGAAAAAATAGAATTATCAGATTAAAATACCTTTCCTTTCCTGAGCACAAAGGAATTCTTCAGAAGGCTAAAAGCAGTGTTTCTACACTTAATTCGGAGCTAGTGAGAAAGGTTGGGTTTGCAGAGGGAGAATGCAGGAATCCATTAATGCCCATTTCTACTAAATCTATGGGACACCAGAGGACTGTTTTCAGTAAAACGTTACTTCCAGAGCAACAGATCTTAACAGTTTGAGGGTCATTCTTGTTCTTTGGATAGTGTGTACAGCCCGTCAGCTCTTGGTGAGGAAACGACATAGCTGTACCAACCAGGAAGACTTTGAATCCTGCTTCTAAACCTTGCTTTGTAACAGTGGGCAAACCATGTACTCTCAGATAGTAATTCATGCCTTCCTAATGTACTGAAACATGTCAATAAAAGAGACCTGTGAACATACTGGGTACACGAACAGAACATTAGAAATCAGAAGTAATCCAAAAGCCTTTACTAAAGGGAAAGCATACCACAGAGAAGCCCCAGTGGTCGTTCTGATGCCCAGGTTCTAGCAGCACTATAGACGGCGAGACACTGCTGTTTGACCGGGGAGGTGGTGAATAGCACGAGGCTGTGTCCTGCTTACCTGCCGAGGTCTGCGTGACAGTCTGCGCTGCCTGCAGCTGCATAATGTCAATCTGGTTGTTCATTTCAGAGTACTTGCTCTCAGCGTCTGTGAGCCGCGACTCCATACGTTTGGTGTTGCTCTCCAGCTCCATCACCTGCATGACCACGCTGACCCAGTCCTTCTCCTGCTTCTTGCTCAGTTCGCTCACCAGACTGCTCAGGTTGGCCATGTGGGCCTTGAGTTCCTTCACCTCCTCACAGCAGGCAGCCACTTTGAGCTGTGCAGGGGTCTTGCGCTTAGGGGGCTTCTGCAGCCACACGGGGTGGCTGACAAAGGCCACGATGAAAATGCAGAGCCAAGTGACAGCCGAGAGATTCTTTTTCAGCATCTTTCGTGGGCCTGCGTCAGGAAGGGTCTTCCTTTGGGGAAATATCTGGATATGCCCAGCTGAGTTATGCAAAGCTGCAGCGAACTAGGAACTTACACTTTCACTCTAGATGGTCTCACCACTTAGTCACTTTCTTTTTTTCTCTTGTTCTTGCTTAGCTTTTCTCAAAACTTGAGTTTCTGAAAGTGAAGCTTAATGGGTATCCTGAAGTTTTCTTCCCAAGCCTGAACACTCTAAAAAGCCAGCATCTTAAATATTGTGTGCTGCCTGCACCTCCACCCCCACCGTGGCTGTGCATGGGGCTTTAGCCCCTCCCAGCTCATCTGGGAGGGTCAGGTGCCTGTTGGGTGAAGTCAGCGTAAACTTAGCCAGAGGAGGGGAGGAGGGAAACAGGGGCAATTCTTCTTATTTTGCCTGCACAGTCTCTGGGCTGAGACAAGAGGACTGTGAGTTTGTGTGTTTCCAGTTTCACATATTAGATTATGACCCTGCCAGCCACTGGCTCAGCTCTATCCACAAGCAGGGCAGGGTCAGAGGAATTTCTAAATTCCATTCTAAAGGTTATATAACCATGGGGTGAGGACAAGGTAGGCAAAAAAAAGGTTGGGACTAAGAATCTCTACTTACCCAGAGAGGCCTGTTAATGAAATACATGCTGTTTATATGGGGATCTGGTATATTTCGACAT